CCACACACGAGTGCTTCCGGGAGTGAGTGGAGGTGTCATAGGCAGCAGCTGATGCAAGGATGCTTGGGCAGGGGTCACCACGATCCAGGTTCCTCCCGGTCTGTCATCTACACTCATGGATGAAGGGAAGCAGGAGTTCCTGGGTGAGGCGGCCAGAGAGGACTCAGGGAGACAAACACTCACGGCTCGGGAATCTGTAAAAGAGAGCCCCCTGCGTCTGTGCTGGAACAGGAGCCGCGCTACTTGGGAGCCAAGGAGTGGACCGGCTTAGCCCCTGACCGTCCTTCCCAGTCCAGGGTGAAACCCAAGGGCTGGAGGAAGGTTAAGGCAAGATCTCCAGACACCTGTCCTTCCAGCCTTCCCCAAGGACAGCGCTGGATTCCAGAGGCCTGGCTTTACTCCACCGCACCCAGACCTACATCACCCCCCACACACACACTCCCAGCTGGAGCCCCAGAAATGGAGTTGGACCAGCACCCAGTTCCCAATTTTCTAAATTCTTTTCCTTCTCCTCAGTCGGACAGCCTTGACCAAGGTCAGAGTTCCATAGCAAACATCTCAGTATCTTCCCCCAAGAACACGGAGGTCCCCAGCACATACAACACCCCAGCTCTCTGAGCACTGAGCTGAAGACACAGTGAAGGCAGGACGGTGGAAGAAGAAACCCTTTGCCTCCCCCTCCGCTCCTCGCCACCCCCAGCCCTGCCTGGTGTGAGCAGGCCTGGCGCTGGGACACAGGGCTTCCTTCCACAGAATCTCTTTATGCTCCTAACACCACCCAGACCCCAAGAGGCATCATCCTACCTCTGATCTCTCTGCTCTGTCCACTTGGATTTTTTTTTCCTCCATAGATGTATCCAATGACCCTCTGGGCCCAGCTCCTCCCTGAGGTGCAGGCCAGAGAAGCTGGGCCCCACTGGCCTGGGAGATCTGCCAGCATCTGCAGCCTTGCTGCTGGGGAAGCAGGAGCCAGGCAGCAGTGCGGTGGTCTGGGGTTCCAGCCCCAGAAACTTTAAGCCAAACGTGTGTGTGTGTGTGTGTGTGTGTGTGTGTGTGTGTGTGTGTGTGTGTGTGTGAAGGTTCATGCTTTGGGTGATGGGGTCAGATTTTGCATTAGCATCTCAAAGAGAGATGGGAGAGGGGGTGGGGAGGGAGGCAGCAGCGCTTGAGAGGCAACCCTGGGGGGCCTTCTCACTGGAGTATAAGACCCCCACTGAGCTCAATCAGGATCCCCAGGGTCCAGCTCCGGCTCTGACCTCGCTGGACTTGTCCCTGTCTTCTCCCTGAGAGACCCGCGTGCCTCTGAAGGGTTCACACCGACAGGGTCACCCTCCGTCCCAGCCAGGGAGAAGAGAGCGGGCGAAGATGGGAGGAAGGAGAGAAAAGCAGCAGGAGACAGCGGCCAGCCCTGGAGGCAACCAGAGGTGCAGCAGGAGCGCCCACCCCTCCCCAGGACTCAGCACAGGGAGGAGGGCGTGTCCCAGGGCGCAGCTCCACCCAGGCAGCCACAGGCAGACGCACACACCTCATGGCCCGGCCAGCCTGCTCTCCCGGGGGTGGCAACGGCATCCCTGAGGTGAGAAGTCCAGGGCTCAGCGAGGCCAGCGTGGCACGGCTGCCTGGGATTAGCACCAAATCCTGGGCTGCTCTGAGCAGGGATCATAAGTCGGGCTGTGAGACTCACAGCTGTGCAGCTGGGCCCGGCCCAGCCAGCCCCTCTCCAGCCCCTCCAGTGTGCCCACTCCTGCCTCTAGCACTGGGACCCTGCCTCTGCCCCCACAATGGGGGGGAGAGGAAGGAAGCACCCCCCACCAACAGCCCCGCTCACAGACACTTCCCGGGAACCCCTAGGTTCTGCGCTGAGCCTCAGCGAGGGACCTTGGAAGCTTTCTCCACCCGGCCCCAGTGGCCCTGCCTGAGGTAGCTTGGCCTGGAATTACCTTGTCTTCAGGCCACCCAGCCCTTGGCCCCAGATGGCTCCTCTCCTTGTAGACTCAGAGGTAGGAGAGCCAGATGGAGCCCCGCAGCTGGGGATCCTCAGCCCCAGCTTCCTGGAGCAATGTGCTTCTGAGGCGCCCCAGCTGTTAGGAGTCTTGCCACAATCCTCCCCACCCATCCCCCACGCCCCGCAAAGCGCCTCGATCTGGGGCACCTCCCTCCCCCGAACCTGAACAAAGTCTGGGATGGGGGCCCTGGCACACCACCCCTCCCCCTGGGGTCATCTGGGCCCCTGGTTCTGCCCTCAGCAAGACCCACACCCCTATCCCTGCCCACAAGGGCGGTTGGTGAGACCCTCCCTCAGGCGCCCGTCCTGGGAGGGCTTCAGGAAGCACAGGACGGGAGGGAGCCGGAGCCTCCCCCAGCCTGTCTGAGCTTCTGCGGCCCCTCTCCCCTCAGCCTCCGGCGGGATGGGTAGAGCCGAAGGACCACTGAGAACAACCTCAGTGCCGGGGCTGGAGCACGGCGGGGGAGAGGACTGAGAGCAGGAGAGGACGCTGAGGCCCACCGTGGCCCCTGCAGACCCCGCCGGGCTCCTCTCCAATGGCATGGAGAGCTTCCGTTCTAGAAGGAGACACGGGCCCGGCACTCCTGCAGCAGGAGGGGGAGCTGGGGGGGCAGACTTCCCTCTGACACTGGCACACCTGGGGCGGCCAGAGCCCCAGCCTTGGGCTTCCGAGCAGGGGAGGAGCGTGCCCAAGAAGCTGGTTCTGTGCAGCGGCGGCGCCCAGAGAGGGCCCTCAAAGCCAAGGTAAGCACCCCCCACTCAGCGCCCAGTCCCTGAGACCGCGCTCACCTGTGCAGGGGAGCAGGAAGGGAGGGGCGTCTCCTCAGCAGCAGGCCCCGGGCGCAGCCCAGCCCGTTTCCTCACAGCCGGCTGGGCGGGAGTCAGAGGATCGCCTAGAGGCTCCGGCCCTGGGGCTCAGCGGGTTTCTAAGGTGTCCTCCTCGTCGCCCCCACCGGCACCACCTGGATCAGCCTCTCCAGACACTTGCCGCTCCTGGGCCAGCAGCGCAGTCAGGCCCTGGGCGCGGAGGAGGAGGCCGCCGCCTAGGAACAAGACCCCGCAAAGCACCAGCAGCGACAGCACGCCCAGCACCACTGCCTGCACCGTGGCGCGAGGCCCCTCAGGGGGCTCCGGAGGCACCCCGGGCTGGGACTGGTTGCAGCAGGAGCTCAGCCAGGTGGCTCGAGCCGCAGCGCCGGCCTGGGAACCGTTCATGGTATGGCGCCCCGCTTTCCAGATGTGCGCGGCACGGCCAGATGTGTGGGAGCCCGGGCAGCGGGTGGGCGGGCTGGGAAGGGAAGAGGGGCGGATCCCAGGAGCCCTCCACCCCCACCCTTCAGGCCGAGCCGCTGGCCCTTCCTACACAAAGGGCTCCTCCAGAGTGGGCTGTGACCACACTTGGGGCTGGAGACTTTCTCCTCAGCCCAAAGGCCCACACACCAGTGTGTTCAAATCTGGCCCGAGCTTGCGGCCAAACCCAGGAGTCTTGTCCTCCCTCTGCCTTGACCGAAGTGAAGACCTGGGCCCGGGGAAGTCGGGCAGGAGGCGGGGCAGGAGGGGCAGACTCTCCCCTGCTCTGAAGTCCCCAGGGTTGGGGCTCCAACTACCCCAGCTGTGCCAGGATGTGCCACTGATTTTGAGTGTGCTTGTGCAAAAATGAGTGCAAGTGACCAAAGCTGCATCCTAGTAAAGAGCCCTGAAGAGATGGCTCATGCCCCACCCCAGGCGCTGCCAGCGGCCGTGCAGTCCCAGCCGGCAGGGGCCGGAGCACGCAAGCGCGAGCCCCATTCCTGGACTCGGACTCTGGGTCAGAGCACGACACGGCCCAAGTGTCCACAGGAGCAGGAGACAAATGGGCAGCCTCCAGGACCTGCGTGACGGGTGTTCACACTCGTCCAATACCCCACTTGAGAGCCTCCAGGGCTGGACAAGCAGCCAGCGCCTCCTGGACTGCAGCAGAGGTGGGGCAGAGCATGGCAGGGGGTTCAAGGCCCACGCCCTTTCCTTCCTTCCGGCCCCAGAGGTCGAGGAGATGTATTTACAAGCCAATGGGAAAGCGCGGCTGGGAGCCACAGTCTTAACCCTGAGCATGTCAGTTCCCCACCGCAGGGAAATCAGTGCCAAGACAGATGATGTTACTGTCCTTGTCACGGGAGCTGGCTGCCAGCTGGGTGTCTCACGGTGGAGCCAGGGTGTGAGAGCAGAGCAGAGCCTGGTTGTAGAAAAGTTGAATGTCTGGGGAAGCTGCAAAGGAGGGGAAACCCTCCTGTCCGAGTCTCTGGCAAATACCCACAGCAACCTGAAATTCTCTCTTTAAAAGCCACTGCCAAGGGGTTAAGTCTCAGCACTAGGAAGCTGTCCGCAGCCATTGCAGCACAAGTTCGATCCCCAGCCAGGGAGCAGCCCACATGGCGCAGCAGGCCTCTCCTGACTTGCCCGCTGCTCCCCTCAGCAGTGTGTTTCATTCACTCCACCTGTTCTGCTCCCCACTCTGTCTCTGGTGAATCCTCTCACCAACCCACCCCCCACCTCTGGCCTGCACCCCAGCTCTTGTGTGCATTAATAAAATAAAAATCTTAGAAGTAAATAAATAAAAGTCATTGCCAGCAAACACCTGTCCTCCCTCAATCAAGCCCTCATCAGGGACTCTCTGAAGACTCGGGAGAGGAAAGCCCCCTCTGCAGCGCAGCAGGTCAGGGTCACACACACCAGCAAAGACTTGCTGGGAACAGGTTTCCCCATGTCCATCCCCCTGAGAACTTTCTGAGTTCTCCAGTTCTCTGATGCCCAAGAGACCAAGGACATCATAAAACGCATCAGGAAATACATGGCCAGAGGGACTTGGAATGAGGAAAATGTACAAACACTTGCTGGCCATGCTAGCCAGCTACCCTGCCCAGGACCAAGGGCCAAGCCACGCTCCCCTCCCATTTCTCAGCACCCGTCCCCACACCGTTAGAAGCCCCCGAGATGTACCGAAAAGCATTGCAAATATGGAATGAATCAATTAAAAGCACAGAGTGGAGTTCACTGATCTTGAGCATGTTTGTGTAGAAATGAGTACAAGTTTTCACAGCTACACCTGTGCAGGCAGGGCTAGCTCCCCCTAGAAGTGTCTCCAGATGCCAGTCTCAAGCTCTAATTTCTCTCCCAAGACACCCAATGAAATAACTTTTCAGGCGCACATAGGTGCACACAGGGGCCTGTGTGCATTTTATGAGCACGAAGAAGACATTCTCTGGGGCTGTCATGAAGACCAAGTCATCTAAAGGCCAGGAGGCCATGGATTCCTTACAAAGGCAGACGAAAGCTCAGTCACATCCTCACATCCAAAAGCAACTGACCTTAATCCCCCGTGGGACTCACCGTGGCCCACCTGGATGGGGAACGCTTGTGTGACTGTCACCCCGAGCAGAAAGCAGTCAGCTTTACTCCGATCCGCCCACTCCCCTCCGGCTGGAATAATGTCAATACACACCTATGTCCTCCCAGAAAGCATTGGTGTGTCACAGGAGAACACACACCAGAGGGAGCTGGCTCAACCCAAACTCACATTCTCAACTTTATTCGCCATCTGAGCCATGGCTCTTCCTTACAGTGGAGAAGGAAGGGGTACCACCACCGGGGGTGTGGAGGACAGTACAGGCCAGACTTGACCGTCAGCAAAGGTTAAGAGGATGACCCGAGATTGGTCATCCAGGGGTGGCTCCTTCCAAGTCTCCTCAAGGACTCAGAGCAAGTTCCAGCGCCCCAAGAACGTAACAGTGCCAGCCCCAGAGGCTGGGGTCTAGGAGCCAACAAGGAGCACCCAAAGGCCCCAGCCAGGCCTAGAGGGCAAGAGTGTCTTTGATGAGCCTGCGCATGGTTGTGGTGACGGAGGTGCCCAGGGCATCAGTGATCTGGAAGGAGATCTTGTAGAGGTAGGGCTGCACATCCCGCAGGCCCGTGTCAAACACGTTGTCCACCTCCGACTGCGTGGGCATCTTGGGCAGGTACTCGTGCCGGTTCATCACCTCCACGATGTTGATGATCTTCTCACAAAGCTTCTCGCCCACCTTCTCCCGGCAGATCTGCCGCTCCTGCTCCGTGGCCAGGGCTACCACGTGCACCTTGACTGTCCACACTTCCCAAGGGATGCACTCGTCTGAGAAAGGCCAGCGAGACTTCTTCTTCTGGTAGAATTCTAAGGACATCTGCCCCAGCCCATCGCCACCTGAGTTTCGCAGCGCATCCTGGGGAAGAAGGGTGACAGGGATGAAACCAGACTCCGAGTTCTCACCCGGGGAGTGCCTGCTTCCGCCACCCCAGGGAATTACGCTCTCCTGGCTCTGCTCATCCCTCAGCAAGGGCAGAGAACAATACCCACAGAGGACAAGGCGAGTGAAAGGACAGAGCAAGTGCCAGCCTAAAACTGAGTGGTTGGAGCAAACCTAACTGTCCTCGCCCGGCTGCTCCGGCGTTGTACAGACGCATGACTCAACCTGAGCCGAGCACTTTACCACAGAATCCCACGGGCTTCTCTCAACCCCTCTGGGAGGCAGGTAGGCCACCTCCACTTGAGATAAAAAGAGGCTCAGAAGAGTAAGGTAACTTGCCAAAAGTCCCAGGTCAGTGAGCGGCCGTGCCAAGGTTTGAATCAGACTCAGATTTCAAAATCTTTGCTTTTCGCCTTTACGCGAAAGCCCTTCTCCTTCCAGAATCCCCCACACGAGAGGAAAACTGACTGCTTTTCTACTTTTAGGCCCCCACCTTCATCATATTCGCAAAAATCACCCTCCAAGGCCTCCACCCCAGTAAATCCTCTTTGCCTTCCCACCGCCAATTAAACACAAGCCTCCCACTTCGTTCATGTGACGACAGCTTAAACTCAGTTTCGAAAACAGAGAGGGGCCGGCAAAGCCCAGTGACTCTTTTTACAAAGGAAGCCAAGGACAGAAGGGGGAAGAGACATGGACCACAGACCAGACCTAGTCCCTGGGGCTCCCTCTTCTCTTTTGATAAGCAAATGGGACCAAATTCTGCCTATCCTGGGGGGGGGAATCCTTGGGAGGGGGTCCCCTCATTCCTGTCCTAGGACAGCTGGGACCCTGAAGCACCCTTCCATCTGAGTCAGGGCCAAGCCAGAGTGTAAGGATACTCCCTCAATCCTGACTGCCCTCCCAGGGAATAAGCAGATAAACCAAGCTCGCCTGACTTAACTGATAGCAGTAACGGCCCACACTTCAAAGCTCACTATGCGCCAAACTGTTTCAAGCACGTCACGTATTTGACTAAGCCCACTGTCCCTGCAACCTCTGCGGTGAGTCCAGTGATCATTCCCACTTCACGCACAGGGAAACAGAGGCCCAGAGGCATGGAGTCTCTTGCCCAAGGGCACACACTGGCGCGTGGTAGTCTTTACTCCGCAGTGCCTGTCTCATGGGCTCCTGAAGACAGAGGGCTGAGCAGCACAGCCTCCCTTGAAGAGGGACCTGGAAACTTCTTGTAAACTTGCTCCTTCTGGGCTTGGGGGGTGGTGGGCCACAGGTGAGTGCTTTGGGGAGGGCCACCCCACACTGGCAAGCTCCTACAATAAGCACACAGTGCCTGACAGCATAGAGGAGCTCCAGACAGACAGATGACCCTCCTCCTCTGGCCCGAGATTAGTACCTTAAAAAAAGTTGCCTTGGGTCTCCTTGGCGGCGCAAGGGGTCAAGTCTCAGCACTGTGAAGCTATCAGCAGCCACTGCAGCATGAGTTTGATCTCCCGGCCAGGGAGCTACCCACATGGCGCAGCAGACCTCTCCTGCCTCGCCCTCTACTCCCCACTCTGTCTCTGGTGAATCCTTCCTCTCACTCCACCCCACCCGCACCTCTGGCCTGCACCCCAGCTCTTGTATGCATAAATAAATAAATCTTTTTTAAAAAAAGTTGCCATTGTTATTTTAAAATTTAAAGATGCCCCACTTGTTGAAAGAGCGAGGCAGTGCTACCTGAACAAAGCAGGGTAAAACACTGCACTCCCGTTCTGATCTAAGTGCACTGTGGCGGGTGTCTGCCAGACCCATCTCCACACCCACACAGGCACGAACAAACATGGACGGCCAGGCCCAGCAGCCCTCCCTTTCAGGGAGTTCTGCCCAGGAAGGGCTCAGAAGGTGAGGGTAAACGTGGGAGCAGAAGCAGGTAGAAGGTCAAGACCACTGGGACAATGACCAACTGCCTGCCGAGCCTGCAAGGGCTTCCTACTCACCTTTCCCAGGTTTTTTCTACAAGGGCCTCACATTCCCACCCCGCACCTCCCCAATACAGACAGACAGCCACACACACGCAGGCTCCGCCCTCAAAGAGCTCTGAGCAAACCTGTTTATTAGAACCTGAAAGAACCCAACACACACACCCAGAAAAATGAGCTGGCTGGCACTTGGGGTCCACTTGTCACCCACTGTGCCATCCCCCTACCTTGAATTCGCCGACAACCTTGCGCAGGGCGCGGTCCAGCTCCTCAGAGGAGACGCGAACATAAGTGAAGTCAATGAAGTCACAGTCAACGTCCTGGGTGCCCACGGTGCCGATGGAGTAGGTGCCCTCCTTCTTGTAGTGGAACTTGCCGGTGCTGCGGTGCAGGAGCACCGTGTGCAGCACGGCCAGCATGGCCTCCTCCACCTGCCGCCCCTCCACCGACACCTCCAGCACCTCCGAGCGACAGTTCATCCTGCAGCCAGCGGCCCACGGCACAGCAAAGCTCAGATTAAAGTGCTTCACCCCAACAGGGGTTACCCTGCAAGAGAAGCCCAGGTCAGAACGCGGACACCTTCTGAACGATCTGTACCATGTCCTTCTAGACCCTTCAAACCTTCCAGACCCAATCCAGCCCCTGCTCCCATGGCCTTGTCTGCATTTCAGTGGCACATACTCTCAGAAATATTATTAGGTTGAGAGAGGGGAGACCTTCAAATTACCAATCCAAACAGCGGGCTAAAGCCGGAATTCCATTCTGGCATTTCGTGCGGCTTATAGAAAATGCTCGCTGTGCAAGAGCTGCCAGCCACTGGCCAGTCAAAGACAAGCACAGCCCCGCCCCTAAGAAGCCACCAGGGAAGGAGAGACAAGCAGGTAAATGCTACCATTCCCACAGCGGGGAGAGCACAACATGGAAAGAGAAAAAGCAGAACGGAATCTGACTTCCCAAGACCTCGAATGACCGAGTTAAGGAAGTCAGACTCTGTCTTGAGGACAATGAGGAGTCCATGCATCACTGGCGAGATCAAGTCTGTGCTGCAAAATTAACTCTGGCTCAAGGAAAACCAATGGCTCCTAAGTTCTTTGGGGTCACAAACGGCAATGAAAAAGGCAGTGAAAGTTATTAAGACTGGGCTTTAAAACCTGACTGACACCTGCACAAACACACCAAATCTTGCCTATTTCCAGGGTCCTCCAAGACTCTCGGGTTAGGACTTGCAGATTCAGGCAGAAAGTCTGTGCGAGCGCATGTTAGAGGGCACTACAGGAGAAGCAGTGGGGCGGATGGGGTGCAGGGCAGTGTGGAGGTTTTCATGCCCACCAGTCCTAGGTTTGAATCCCAACTGTCCTCCCTCTGCTCTATGACTCAACCTTTCTGAGTCTGATTTCTGATGCATAAATTTGGCTTGTTGTGAGAATTAATGAAACTAACATCTGCAAAATACTCTAGCAAAGTCATTAAGAACAATGACTCTACAGTCAGACAACCTGGGTTGCAGCCCCAGCTCTGCCATTTGCTTACTGGAATCTTGGGCAAGCCAGTTAATTCCTATGAGCTCAGTCTCCCCGTCTACTAAAAGTGGACAGCAATAACAACCATCGTGAAAGGAGTCGATGAGTTAGCATCTGTAAGGACTTAAAGCAGTACGTGGCACATAGTAAACAGTAAATATCAGCTGCTGTAATCTGGTATTATAATGTTATTGCTGAGATGACAGAGGTTACACTCCAGCACTGGAGGAGCCAGGGGAAGGAAAGAAGAGACTTGAGAACTAGAACTTGGTAAGTCACCGAACATGAGCCTGGGGGAGAGTGGCTAGTTGGGTCCAGCTTACACACCGTCCCTGACAGGGGATTCATCACCTGTCACAGCAGACTACTTCATCTTTACACTGCTCTACTGAGTCATTCCTTCTACCAAAACCTTCTGCTTCAGTCCACGAGTCTTAGCTTTGATGTCAGGAGCCACGTAGAGGAAATCTCAACCCTTTCCCACAAAGGAGCCTTCCAGATACTCAGAGGTAACTTTTCTATCACCACCCTCACTCCTACTACAAGTTAAAGGTCTCCAGTCCCCATAAACTGGTCAGTTCCACATCATGTCTGATCTGCTTGGGATCCTGGCAGCAGAGTGTTTTTCCATCTGTGTCCAGGCCCCTGCAACAGCAGCTCAGCACAACACAGGGCAGCAATTTGCAGGCGGCTCAGAGAGGGTGCTGGCTCTTCCCCTCCGGAGGCAAGCAATGGGGTCCATCTGCACCACCTGAGCTACCAGTCACCTTCTCACAGGTATTGTCCTGTGCCTCCCACTAGGCAGTTCCTTGACAGCAGAGACTAAAATCCAACTCATCACCATAAACACAGTTCCTGGAACCTACCCCAACATAACTGCTAATTCCTACACTGCTCTCTAAGCTACCGCCAAGGGCTGCGGGACAGCTTCCTTCCACACTCTCAGATGGAAGATGAGCAGGGATCTCTCGCTCATGTCCGCCTCCAGATTAACTCCATGGAGCAGCTCTGTCCAGCTCCCCTTTCTCCCACAACTGCCTCCCTTTTATGCGCCCCACACACCTTCACATAGGCCACCTCTCTGATCACTTCTGGCCCAAGCCCAGGCTCTTCCCCTCGTCTGCAGAGCTATTCTGGGATCCAGCCCTCCAGGATGTCGGCACTGACCAACCCCAGCCTCCTTCCCAGAGCAGCCAGCTTTGGTCTGGGATGAGCTGGTCTGTCCCTCCACCCTCACCCCTACCTCTGGTGAGCAGAAGGCCCGTCAAGTCCCACCCTGGGCTCCCCCCAGCCCAAGCCTGCCGAGCTCAGGGGCGGAGGCCCTCGCAGAGCCAGGCTGGCAGCCAGGGCACCCCAGCCCCACCAGGCGCGGAGGGGATGGGGCGCGGGGCGGCTCAGGCTCGGCTCTCGCCCTGCCTCCTCCTCCCCGCGCCCAGGTCCAGCCCCCGCCGCACGCCCGACCTCCGCGGCCAGAGCCGCGCCAAAAGCAGGAGCAGCAGCTGCCGGGCCCGGCCTCGGGCGCCTCGGCGGGGCGCAGGGAGACACCCCGCCCGCGCCCCGGTTCTCCCCCCGCCACTTCCCGCGACCCTCCCCGCCCCGGAACAGGGGCGGCGCCCGGCCCGCGGGCGTCTCGGGAGCGGGGCCCCGGGGGCGAGGCCGGCCAGGGCCCCCCCGGCTGGAGCGACTCCCTACCTGCCCGAGCCCCCGTCCGGGCCCCGCAGGCCGCGCAGCGCCCTCCGCCCGGACGCGCGAGCACACGCAGGAGGCGGCGCCGGCGCCGGAAGCCGCGCCCCGCCCCGCCCCCCGCCGGCCGCCCCCACCGCGCCCGCCTCGGCGGGGGGGCGCGTGCGGGGAGCCGAGCCCCGGCACCGGCGCGGCCGCCTGGGGGCTCCCGCCCACGCCAGGGGACACGCGGAGGCCGTGCCGCCCCGCCGCCCGTGTGCCACCCCTGTCCCCTCGCTGGGCCTCGGGTTCGCAGGTGCGGGGGCGAGACGCCCCCCCGGCTTGGGCAAGTCCATCCCGCCCACCACCGAGACGTGTTGTGTTTCGGCCGCGGCGCCGCCTTCCGCCATAGAGACGCGCGGGCAGGAGCGGCCGCGGGCGCGGCGCCGCCTCCCTCGGCCGGGAGGAGTCATCGCCGCGAGCCCGCCCGCCCGCGGGCAGACGGGGTGGGTGGCCCCCGCAGGAAGGGGCGCGGGTGCCCGGGGACGAGGGCGTGCTGCTCGGGAGGGGCCCTGGAGGGGAGCCCAGGCCTGGGTGCTGCAGATGCCGAGCGGATGGCAAAACTGGGGTTCTTGAGCCTCCCCAGTGGCGCAGCGGGTTGAGCTCAGCGCTGTGAAGCTGTCCGCAGCCTCTGCAGCGCAGGTTCAATTCCCGGCCGGCCAGGGAGAGTCCCACCTGGCACAGCAGACCTCTCCTGTCTTGTCCGCTGCTCCCCTTAGCAGTGTTTTTTTAAAAAAAAAAATTTAAAATAAATAAATAAATAAAAGAATACTGGGGTTCTCCCCATATGCCTAAGAGACAGCATCCCTGGTCCCTCAAAGATGCTGGAGGAGGGGCCGAGCCTGCCTCTGTTGTCTTCATGCGGGGTCACTGCCCTGCCGTGACCCATCTCGGGGGTTCTTGCGAGGCTCGTAATTCTGTCCTTGCGTCCTGGGTGACCCTTGACGTCATTCATCCTTTCTGATGTCCTTCTCCGTAAACGGGGAGACGTTGCAATGCTCACAGGAGAGAATTCCTATGAAAAACTTTTGTGAAGTGGAAGGTGTGCATGCCTTTCACTGCTGTGTCATCCCTGAGAGTGTGTTCCGTTCTCCTTGTGGGTTGTAGGCTCGGGGTAGACAGGTTTGTCCTGTGTTCTGTTAATGTCTGCTGAAGCTGACACGCTCCCAACATCAACAGGAGGCACTCTTGAGTTGTTTACATGGGGATTAAGAGCCATTCCCTAACACACCCTTTCTCTCCCGGAATAATAATAGGTAACATTTATTGAGTGAAACGGAAAGGCCATGGTCCCAAGTGACTCCTGTATCTATCTGTCTTATCTATCTGCCTATCTATCGAGAAATTTCAGCCTCATACCAATAAATGCTGTGAAGTAGGTGAAGAAATTAACCCTGGAAGAGGTTCAATAACTTGCCCTCTGCCACTCAGTAAGTGGCAGAGTCTGGAGTTCAAATGCAGCCGTCCTTACCACAACAGAAACTCTCTCTGGTTTCTCCACCCCACCCCTGCACGATCTCTCTCCACTACAGCCCACCCAGTATCTGCTCTCTGGTAGGAAAATAGCTTGATTTGTAGCCTGTGCCGATTTTTACCATGGCCCATGTCAGTAGAATGCCTGAATAGAATAAAAGGACTCATCTTCCCACAAGTAAAGGAACTGGCCCTTTCTGACGGCCTTTAATCTGGGGTGTGGGTTTTGTCATGGCTTCACATTTGAATTGAAACATCTGCTTTTCCTGGGTCTCCCTGTTCTTCAGAATTTGGAACGACTCACCTGGTTCTCAGCATTTGGACTTTGAGGGGAACTACATCATCAACTCATTAGCTTTCCAGCTTACTGACTAAGGATCTAGAGACTTGCCAGCCTCCATAACCATGTAAGCCAGGTCCTCGTAACATCTCTGTCTCTCTTCCAATGTATATGTGTGTGTGTATATATGTGAGTGTGTGTGTGTGTGTGTGTGTGTGTGTGTGTACATCCATTTAGGAACCTAGTATATTTGCCAAGACCAAAACCATACGACACTCTTTCCTCCTTCCACTCATCTTTCTACCCACTCTTGTCCCTACTCCAAAACTCACCTCTCTGGGGATCCTTTCCTGCCTAAGAGGGAGGCTGGGCCCTCTCACCTCTCATCTCAGGCCCCATTACTGGCCAGTCCTTGCTTATCACCCCTCCCTGATTCCTCACAGAGCCGTTCTCACTGCATCTCAGACCCTGGGTCCTAAGCCCCTCTAGCTCTATCAGGAAGGGAAGGTCTAGATCAAAAAGAGTGAGACTGTGTAGAATAAATTCCCCATCCTATAGCCATGATAATCAAACATGATGGTCCGTTCATTTATGCAACACAACTGTAACTGTCCACATGCCCTGCCCATGGCATTCCAAGGTGGGCAAGTCACAATCCTGGCCCTGGGGGAGCTCAGAGTCTTACAGAGGAGATGGACCAGGAGATGGACCTGGACATGAACACATGACAGGTGGCGTGAAACAAATAGCTGGTTTTTCAGGGGCCAGAGAGATGGAGGCCCTTGCTGTCATCCCGGAGAGATCCCCACGGCCTAGAATAGAAAGTGAGAGAAGAGAAGAGAGAAGATACCTAAGTGCTGCCTCATCAAGTTGGGATGAGATTGGACACCAGGATAGCTGCAGAGAGCCCAGGATGGCAACCTGAGGAGACGGGTGGGAAGGGGGGAGGTGTTGGTGATTCCAGGAAGAAGTGGGGCTGCAGGGAGGCTTCACGGAAAAGGAACTAGAATAGAGACCTCACTGAAAGCAGAGGGTGAAAACGGAGAGCAGGGTCCAAAACAGAGCAGACTTCCCAGAGCCCAGAGGCCCAGTGAGCCAGGCAACCAGGCACTGGCTGAGGCCTCTGAGCCATGCCTCCAGCAGAGAGAACTTGAAGGCCAACCCAGGACCTTGGGAAGAGGCAGCTGGCTCTGCCTGGTGAGTGTGGCCTTGGATGGCCCCACCCCATCCCAGCCTGAGCTCAAGGGAAGAGCTGAGCCCTGAAGGTGGCCCTGTAGTTCACCCCCAGCCGCTCCAGAGCTGACCCCAGTGGCGTCACAGGGATTGACTCAAGTCCCAGCAACAACAATGAGTGGGACTGACGTCAGGCTGGGGGCTCCTGACGGTGGCCAGCCTGGCTGGGTAGCCAGCACTCTGACCAGCCTGCTGACCCTCTAGCCCAGGCCAGGCCACAGGGGTGAGGAGGACCAGCTGTCCCCATCGCACAGCTTGTCCTGGGATCCAGGCAGGGGCTCCTCCTCCTCCCGCCCTTCCTGAGATGTCACTCCCAGCCCCCCTCCCCTGTGGCAGAGGAAACGACAGGGCGGAAGACAGAGTGGCAGAGAGCGTGAGAAAGAGGCACCTCCCAGCCCTCACCTCCTTCAGCAGCCTCTAGACCTGGACTGGGCCTGGAGGCGGCGTGTCTGCTGTCTGTCCTCCTGGAGCAGGTGGGGATCTGTCTGCTGTGCTGGGGAAGCGCCGCGCGGCCCTTTCTCTGGGAAGGTCTGTGTGTTTGTCTCTCTGACCAAGCTGGGGTGGAATAGGGCTTTATTTCTGTCTATCCCTGGGGGTAAGGAACTGTCTCTCCTTCCGGCAAAGTCTGTACGTCTGTTTCTTTGGGGGGCGTGTGTGTATCTGTTGTTCTTTGCTGAAGAGAATTCTATGCAATTGTCCTTGCAAAAGAAGAGGGTTGTTTATCCAGCCCTGGTTAAGGATATCACTCTACCGCCCCGGGAGATGTCCTTTCTGACCCTAGTTCCCTGTATCTACCCTCATGGTCTCCCAGTTAGCTGGGATGGGGCCCAGTTTTCCTGCTGGGCCCTCCCCAAAGTGGTCTCCCTGCCTGAGGACTACTTGCCTCTCATGTGCCCAGACAAGGAGCGCGGTGACAGTCAGCACCCTGCCTGCCTGGCTTGCAGCTGGACACTGCTTCCTGCAAACTCAGCAGCATGTACCAGGAAAGGCACCCCCCCCAGCCCCGCCTTGCGCCCTCACTCCCCTCCCAACCCAGCTGCCACCCCCAGCCCCTGAGGCTGCGCCAAGCCTGATTTATGGTTCTGAGTAGGAGCTGGACAGTGCCAGCGCATGGGTCAGACCTTGAAGGAACCTCAAATGCTCCCCCCCCCTCCAGCACTGCCTGGCAGGGTCAGGGCCCAGTAGGAGGTGAAGGGGAGCCAGGGTGTTGGGGACAGGGACGGTGGCCAGAGTATTGCCTGGGGGTGCAGGCGCTGGTAGGAGGCAGAAGCCAAAGCTGAAGCTCTAGTGCCCCATAGCCCTCAGGCCAGCTCTGAGTCCAGCTGTGAACCCTGGAATGTGCCTCCTGCCCTCAGAATGTCCCCAGTGAGGGGAGGAGATATTGAGGGGGGGAGGGGGCTCTTGTTCAGCATTGCACTAACTCCTTCTTGTCCTCACCACAGGAAGGAACAGCCAGCTTAGGCCTTACCAAACAGTACCCAGCCTGGGGTCAAGGCAGGGCTTAGCAGAGGCCGAAACTAGAGAAGAACTGGAGATGGGTTTGGGGCTGGGCTCTGGCTGCCCCAGGACAGAGTGGCTGCGGCTGAGCCATGGGCCTGAAGACCTGACCTGAGCAGCTCGGGAAGGCAGATGAACAGAAACCCAGCCCTTCAGTCTCAACCTTTGAGAGGCCCAGCAGCTCAGGTTCTCTGCTACAGTCGGGCATTTAGAGGGGCTGATACTCACCCAGATGTAAGCCAGAACTCCCTGGGAATCCCAGGCATAGCTCTCACATAAGGGGAGCCCGGCACTGTGCCCAGCCAGGACATGTCCAGCACAGTTGCCTCATGATCAAAAACTGACATCGCTACCGACGTGCCAGGATACAGAGTTAGGCATGCGGCACGGTGCAGCTGAAGACAGCCTGGTCCTGTCTCCTGGAAGCCAACTCTCACCATCTCCCTCCATGACCAAGTCCTGGTGATCAGGAATCCAGGTGTGAGGCAGCCTCTTATATCCCAACCCTAGGGAAGCACGGCCAGGTAGCCCCTTGGGGTG